GTGGCTTTGGCTTTGCACACACCAGTCAAACACTGCTGCCGCCAAGCTGTTTCCTGGCCAGGCCTCTCCGAGCTCAGCCTCCCTGGCCGGTACTCAGCTTTGGGGGCAGCACCCCTGGCCTGTCCCTGGCTCCACAGAGGTCTCTGCCCAACATGTCCTGGTTCTCTGGGTTCACCTGTCTGTCTCTCCAGTTTTGGAGAAAATCAATTTGCCCTGTGATCTCATTTATTTTACAGCCCTGAGAAGAGATATCAGTTTGAGGCATCACTTTGCTATTTTAGGAGTCTTAATAATGCTTAAATAAGAGTTCTTGCATTTTGATTTGGCACTGGGCACCACAATGGAGCCCATCCTGCCCAGACCCACAGAGTTCGATGGAGGCCTTTCTTTGCTTTTTTTTTTTTTTTTTGAGATGGGGTCTCATTATGCAATTCAGGCTGGCCTTGAGCTCACTTTGTAGCCCAGGCTGGTCTTGAACTCACAACAATCCTCCCATCTCCTGAGTGCTGGAATTACAGGCATGAGCCACCACGCCCAGCAATGGAGGCCTTTCTACACACAGATAATGGATAACAGATCTGGGAGCCAGTCCTTGGGGCACACACTTATAATCCCAGCATTTAGGAGGCTGATCCAGGAAGATCCTTGAGAGTTCGAAGCCAGTCTAGGCTACAAAATAAATTCAAGACCAGCCTGAACTGCATAGTGAGACTCTGTCTCAAAAAGTCAAAGCCAAAGCCAAAAAAACTGTGCATCAAGATCCTGTCTCCAAAACCCAAAAATAAATAAATGAGTAAATGCCAGTCATCGGGCTGAGAATATAGCTCAGTGGCACAGCACCTGCTTGGCAAGCACAAGATCATGAGTTTGATTCCTGATACTAAATAAATAGAAAACTTTAGTAGATTGTTTCCAACTCTCAAAATTCCCCTTTCAAACTGGGTGCGGTAGCACACACCTGTAATTTTGTAATCCCGGCACTTGGGAGGCTGAGGCAGGAGGATCATTGAGTTTGAGGCCAGCCTCAAACTGGAGATATCATTGCCTGAGGATGGGCAATGACCCACCCAGATGCTCCAAACCAGCCATACTTATTGGGTGTGTACAATATAGTGGGTGAATACAATGACAGGAGGAGCGAGCGGAAGGTTCTAGGTCAGCAGGGAGGTGCAGAGGTCAGGACACTGCAGGCAGTGGATAATCCTGGGGTGACTCAAGAGGTGGAGATGGTTTCATTCTAAAAAGGTTCTTACTTTGGAGTGTTCTTTTTCATTTTAGTAGTTTTAGCGGGTGGAAGAGGATAGATAGTCCCAAGAGTTAATGAGAAGTCTCAATAGAGTGATATTGTAATCCCAGGCCTCCATTCATCCCTTTGGGAAGTGTGCAAAATCAGCCCCTGTGAATTCGTGGTCCCCATAGGTCATGATCAGTTGGCTCTTGCTAAGTATTACGTCTTTTTTTTTTTTTTTTTTTAGTATTACGTCTTTTTTTGGAAGGCTCGTGTCGGTTTACCTGGCCAGTAGCCAGGCGTGAGTACACCTGTTCCTCCAGTGCTGACCAGCATTAGGTATTTTTGTTTCGTTTAATAGCTGCTCATCAGGAGTTTACTATGCACAGTCTTTAACCTGATTTTCCTTAATTACTAAGGAAGTCGAGTCCTTAAAGACAAATGTTTATTATTTGTCTTGCCACTCAGGTGCCTGCCTTTACACCTGTTTGCCGTGTGTGCATGCGTGTATGTGTGTGTGTGTGTGTGCATGTGCAGCACTATGGGGCCCTGGCAGTCTTTGGAATGGAAGAGGGGGCTTGGCTTAGAAGCGCCCCAGGAAGCCAGGCATGTGAGGTGTGCACAGTGAGGAAGTGCCCCATGGGTGAGGCAGACGATGGGTACCCAGATGTGTGAGTCTCTCCTGGTAGCCAAAGTGTGGTGTTTTAGGAAGAGAGTTGGGGACATTGGCTGGAAGTGGGGGTCAACTAAACTCAGAAATTAGATATTTACCTGGAGGATTTTCTGTTGTCACTGTTCTTAAAGGGAATGACATGATCTGATATGTGTGGTAGAAAGACTTTTTTCTTTTTAGTTGTTTTTGTCATTGTTTCTTAGGTTTTTAAGATGGGCTCTCACTATGTAGCCCAGGCTGGCGGTAAACTCACTGTGTAACCCAGGCTGGCCTCAAATTTGCAGAAATCTTTCTGCCTCAGCCTCCTGAGTGCTGAGATTACACCATGCCTGGTCTTTTCGGCATCCTATGTGAGGTAGATTTGGAGACATTGTTTGTGTCAAATATCATAAATAAGACTGTAAATAAGCTTTTTATGTAATGTGCACATTAACCCTTCATCCATCCTACTCCTTAAAAATGGCTCTTTAAAAATGTTTTAAATTGTGGGTAAATATCCATAATACAAAATTTGCCATTGTAGCCAGGCTTGGTGGCACACACCTGTAAACCCAGCACTGGGGAGGCTGAGACAGGAGAATTGCCCAAGTTTGAGGCCAGCCTAGGCTACATAGTAAATTCAAGGCTAGTCTAAACTACATAGTGAGACTCTGTCTCAAAAAACCAACCAAACCACGTGTAAGTGCCTGCCTGGCAAGCAAGAGGTTGTGAGTTCAATTCCCAGTACCAAAAACAAAAAACAACAACAAAAAAACCAAATCAACCAAATGGAACTAGGGATAAGCAGCATAAGCACCCACACAAGGTCATGAGTTCCAATACCAAAACACACAAACGAAAGGATGTGCTGATGGAGGGGTCCAATGGGTAGTGGGAAATAGGGAGCTACTTGGCACCAACAAATACAAGGGACTATTACTGTGCAAGCTTCAAAGGTCACATCCAGACTGTCCATCCTGTTGATGTTCATCACTTCTCTGTGCTGAGATTTTTTCTTCTCCTGTTTTTGAGACAGGGTCTTGCTATGTAGTTCAGGCTGGCCTTGAACTCACTTTGAAGCCCAGGCTGATCTTGAGCTTGCAACTACCCTCCTGCCTCAGCCTCCTAAGTGCTGGGATTACAGGTGTGTGCCACCAACTATGCAGAGATTTTAGGAGTGCTGGAGGAAATAACACTTGGTGACAGAACAAAGATAAGCTGGAAATATTTATCCTGGGGAAACAGTGACATCCATTCACTCATGCAACAAACAGTACCCAAGGGATCCCTGTGTCCTGGGAAGTACTAAGAGAATGTTGTTGAGCAAAAGAAACACATGCCTACTTCCATGGAACCCAGGACTACCGAGCTCCACAAATCACAAAAACAACTGTTTATAAACTCTCATTGAAGGACAGAAGTACCAGGCTATAAGAGCATTTATATATAATAGGCATCAGATCAAGTCACAGGTTAGAAAATGTCTTCCCTAGGGCCAAGGTTGAATGTACTTTCTCTGTGTGAATTTGTAACCCTCCTATAATGCTTCACCCTGGCTGGACTTGGTGATGCACCCCTGTAATTCCAGCACTTGGGAGGCTGAGGCAAGAGAATTGCTTCGAGTTTGAGGCCAGCTTGGCCTATCAGTGAGTTTGAGGCCAGCCTGAACTCGACATAATAAAACTGTGTTACAGAAAAAACAAAAAAACACAACAAAACGAAGAAGAAAGGGAAAGAGGAGAAGGAGGAATATTCACCCTGACGTTTTCAAGTGTCAGCTCCACCATATCCTGTGGTTATTATCTGACTGATTCCAACCCAGACAAGCAAGTGTAACTATTTGCATTTGCTGAAGAATGTGCATCTCAGAGAAGTTAGACATGTTGCCTCTTGTCGCGGTTGGTTTGGTGTGCTCTCTACAGAAGCTAGTGCTAGAGCTTGGTTTCCAGGGTAACAGGAAGGCCTTTAAAGGATGATGACAGCACAATAGTACCACTCTCCGAAAGTGCTGATGTCATTCTTGTGGGGCCAGGTTAGTTCCCATGAGGATGAACAGTTATAAAAGAGTGATTCTAGTAATCCCAGCACCTGGGAGGCTGTGGCAGAAGCCTCTCTTCTTAGTGAGACTCTGTTGAGAGAGAGAGGACATGAGAGGGAGAGAGACCCTGCTCCTTCCCATTTCCTTGTTTGCACTTTTACCACATGATTACTGCTGAGGGACTGGTGTCATGTGATGCCAACTACCATGCTAAGCTGCTTTCATAGGCCAGTCAGACATGACTGTTCCACTCCAGGCTTGCTTCCAAGTCTGGGAGCTCACTAACCCTTTTTTATTTATAAGACACCCTCAGGTATTTTGTTTTAGTGACACAAAATTGACTAAGACAGTGGTATCACAATGCTGTAAAACAATCTTTCACCTGTTTATTCACACATGAAATATATGCTGATTACCTTTTGAGTGTCAGGCCATGGATACAGCAATGAGGAGCCACTGCCCGAGTTTTAAGCAGGAAAGCACATACAGTGTAGGTTCCTGACAGAATCATGTTCTGGTGATTGCCAAAGTATGGCCTGGGAGTACCTATCGAGGAAGGATCTCTGAAGTTCGGGCTCAAAAATTTTGTGATCAGAAAGGATTAGAGATTTTTTAAAGTTTCAATTTAATAGAGAGAGAACTCTATGTTACAGAAGTGGTGGGACAGTCGGTGAGTCTGACTTCAATCAATGGTGGCTGCAGTAACCAAGTGAGAGGTGACAAGATGGTAAGACAAAGGTTTGTACACTGGGGTCATTTACATGGCGTAGACAAGACTTCCCATCCATCCTTTCCATAGATAGTGGCTGAGACTCAGAAAACGGAGCCAGGTGAGTGTGATGGCAAATGCCTGTAATCCCAGCAATTAAAAGCCATCTCAACGGGGGAAAAAAAAAGTGGAGCTAGGGTTCCCATCTGTACCCGTCTACACACAGACCCTTCTACACATAGCTTTAAGTATTTTATTCCTCTGAGCACATACTGCAATTTTCCATTGCCTTGCAGTTCTCCTTCGCCTTGGAAAAGGCTAGGAGAGAAATTAGGGATGGCCACGCAAGGTCTTAAGGTTTTATCCACTTTTTGTTCTTTGGGACTGGATACAGTCCCACAAAGCAGACTGACTCGGTAAAGGACCCACTGAGGAAAGAAAACACAGGTCGCCGGGAGGCACTTGGGCTCCCTAGACTCTCGTAAGCCTCCAGGAAACCGGAAGGCAGTAATTCGAGGAGATGGTGACCTCAACTCCGCCCCACTGAGTGTCAGACCGACCCGAGCGGTTCAGGAATTCAGGAAACTGTAAATCAACCACAGCAGCCTCAACAACCGCCTCCCTCAACATCAACAACCTTCGCAATAAAACGTGCGAAGACGCTTTCCCTTCTGCAGCCCCGAAGCGCGGAGGAGGCAGGAGCTGCGGGGAGCTCGCTGCTTCCCGTCGCAGGCTTAGCGTCTAGCATCTCGGGGAGTCGGCGGAGCCACACGTTCTCTCCGGGGAGGGCACGAGGCCAAGAACACTCTGTTCTTCTCACTGCCGAGCCAGAAAAGATAGAAGCGAGCCGAGGCCGAGGCGACAAGGCTGACAGAGGCCGGGCACGACTTCTCGGGCTCGGTGGGTGTTTGGGAGTGCGCGGCTGGAACCCAGCTAGTGGAAGTTAAAGCTCTGGCTAAGGGAGTCGGGGGCGGGGCTGGGAGGACCCCTGGGGCTTTGGGGCGGAGCATGCCCCGAGGACAGCCAATCAAAAGGAAGAGTATGGTCAAGGGCGTGTCATCACCCCGCTAGAGTAACCCAGGAGCTCAGCGACCTGGCCACAGCCCGGCCGCCCAAGCCACCTTAAAAACGCCTGGCTGCTGCGGCGCGGGGCTGCTGCTAGCATCGCACGTTCCCGGACCCGAGGCCCCTCTGCCTTGCCTAGGAGTTCTTTCTGCCTTGGGCCCGTCCTATCCCACCCCGATCCCACCCTATCACTGCAACCTCGACCCCAACTTGCTCAGCACCCTCTGAACTCCCGACGTTTGCAGAACGCAATGGTCCCAGCCATAAATGTCTCGCGCGAGGTGGGGCAGCTGCTGTTCCAGCCCTATGATTTCGAGACGACCCGGGACTTGAGGCCTTTTTTGGAGGAGTACTGGTGAGACCTGAGGAGGAGGAAGGGCCATGGCAGGGGCCAGAGCCTACCGCCTCTTGGAGGGGGGAATGGGGGGATTGTATGCCTCCGCTGTGGCCCGAGGTACAGGCTGTGTGGTGCTCAAGAGACTTGAGCTGGAAGAAAGCGTGCAGAAAGGAAAAGGTGGAGTGGGGACAGACGTCAAGGAGCACTTTCCTGTCCTTTGTGGCAATGTTCGTGCCCAGATGTACCTGTCCTGAGATGCCTCATTGTCCTTGCTGTGGAGGTCAAAAAGCCAGGAGCACTTCTAGGCATTTCCTAGGCACTGCCTTAGCTCCAGAGCTCAGGGGAGTGTGTGGGGTAACAGGATCCAAGATGACAGTTGCTGCCACATTCTCCTTGCACCACTGCCCCAGGGTTTATTCTAGATGTGGGCCAGCGACCTGTCACCCACCTCCAGCCTCTCTCTGAGCAGTAATCATGGAAGTCTTGAACTCTGCCTACATTAATACTGCTGGGAGAGGGGTATGATCTGTGCTTTACAAAGGAAACAAAATCCTTTATAAAGGAAAACAAGTGGAAAGTGGCAGGGCTGGAAGGGCAAGCGAACACACTCACATGGACAGAGCAGTGGGCATTCCTCTAACCTGTATCACTCACCAGCCTGTGCCCCCTGCATTTTCCTGTCAGGGCAACTGCGTTCCCTATTGCTCTGGTCTACCTGCTGCTCATACTTGTGGGGCAGAACTACATGAAGGCAAAGAAGGGCTTTGACCTGCAGTGGCCCCTAGTCCTCTGGTCCTTTTGCCTTGCACTCTTCAGGTAAGACCCGCTTCTTTCACCTACTGCCTTTTTTTTTTTTTTTTTTTTTTTTTTTAGGGGGCAGGGATTGAACCCAAGATCTCTGCACCAAGTCACATTCTCAGCACCTTCCCACTTTTTAAAGATTTTTGAGAGAGGACCTTGAAGTTCCCCAGGTCTCCTTTCTATTTCTTACATCTTTCCAGAGACCTCAGGTACATTCCTTCTAGCTTACACTCTTTCCATGTTACCCTGTTTTCCTGCTTTCTAGACCCTGGCCTGGCAATCTCTGCTTACCCCATCCCTCTCAGTTCTCAATTCTCTGTCCCAAGTCTGATTGGCAACTTCCTATATGTTTTCTTCCCCCAAATCCTTTGACCTCTGCCATCCCACCCCACCACAAGATCTCTCCTACCACCTACCCCCAGTGCCTAACTCAGCTTTGTCTCATCTTTCTGCACGCACTGGTTGTCTCTCAGCTTTTTCTCTCCTGTGGGAATACTCATTGGATCTAGCAGATTAACCCAGGATCTCAGAGGCTGTGACCTATGTCCCCCTTGGAAGGGCGACAAGGCTTGGTGATCTGGTCAGGCCAGGGTGAACTGGTGCCTGTAGTCACCTTATATAGTTTCTTTCTCTGTCTCATTTCAGTATCCTGGGGACAGTGAGAACATGGGGCTATATGGGGACCCTGATACTTCGCAGGGGCCTGAAGCACACTGTTTGCTTCAATGAGTACGTCGATGACACCATAATCAAATTCTGGTCCTGCCTCTTTCTTCTCAGCAAGGTCATTGAACTCGGTGAGTGGCAAGGCTTTGTGTCTCTGGGGCCCGGTGAATTTCATCCATGTCCCTCCTCAGAGTGCCCCCCTCCCCAGCACATGGAGCCCTTTCCCCACCCAAGCCCTAACAGTGCATTTTCCCCAACCCCACTCAGAATCTCTGCCACAAAGACCACTCTCCCCTCCCCTCCCTGAGAGTCCCTCTTGTGTGCCTACACCCAGTGAAGAGAGGGGCCTGGGCACTGAGGGGTCTGACTCTCATCCCTCAGGAGATACAGCCTTCATCATCTTGCGAAAGCGGCCACTCATCTTTATGCACTGGTACCATCACAGCACGGTGCTGGTATTCACAAGCTTTGGGTACAAGAACAAAGTGCCTTCAGGCGGGTGGTTCATGACCATGAACTTCGGCGTGCATGCCATCATGTACACCTACTACACCCTGAAGGCCGCCAGAGTGAAGCACCCCAGGCTGCTGCCCATGATTATCACCAGCCTGCAAATCCTGCAGATGGTCATGGGGACCACTGTGGGCATCCTCACTTACATCTGGAAGCAGGAACAAGGGTGCCACACCACAATGGAACACTTCTTCTGGTCCTTTGTCTTGTATTCGACCTATTTCATCCTCTTTGCCCATTTCTTCTGCAAAACCTACATCAAGCCCCAGGTCAAAACCAAGCCCAAGAGCCAGTGAAGGTTTGGAGAGAAAGATGGTATCACAGGCTCTCTCTCTTCCCTCAGACTCTAGGGGGCTGGACTTGCATTTGGAGAATGACTAGGGTGCCTTCCCTGCATGGCTTTCCGGTGCTTCATGTGCCCCACAAAGGCAGAAGTTATGCAGTGAAGAATCACCCTAGGATGGGGGGGTTAGTATTTCTGTCTTTAATGTGAAACCAAGCAAACAGGCCCTGGAAATGGTGTGGGGCTGAGGAGGGTTACAAGAGCTGATTTATTTATACTTCTATCCAGAATTGTTTCTTCTTGCTCTTTTTTTTTTTTTTTCAATTAATGACATTGTGTTTTTTTTTTTTTTTTTTTTTTTTTTTGTCTTTTTCCTTTTTATCGGTACCAGGGATCGAACTCACGACTGCCTGCTTACAAGGCAGGCGCTTATGCCACTGAGCTAAATCCCCAGCCCCTAATGACATTGAACTAGGTGTAGTGGCACAGGCCTGTAATTCCAACACTCAAGAAGCTGAGGCCGGCCTGGGCTGCATAGTGAGTTCAAGGCCAGCCTGAATTAACTGGCGAAACCCCTGTCTCAAACAGAACAAAACAAAAATTAATGATGTTGACAGATGTGCAGGGACTTAGGGATCTGGGGTAAGAAAAGGGGTTCTGGGGCAGTTGGCTGGTGGGTGGCCAGCCGGGGGAAGCCTGAGGCTGTGTGGAAGGATGGGAAGCACTCACACAGAGACAATAAGAATCCTAGGCCTGGTAGGCACTTAATAAATGTCTGTTACAGACCAGAATTTTATTGCTGTTAGGGGCCCGTGCCCCTCATAGGAACAGTGAGAAAAAAGTGCGGAAAGGCGGAGTAGCTCATCTAACGTCAGAGGCTCCCTAAATTGCCAATCTGATCCCGGCAAACACGCGCTGGAAACCAGACCTACCAGACCTACCAGTTGTGCTCCCTGAGGCCGCGAGGTGGCGCCACAGCACGGGCTTTGGCCGACTGCAGCCAAGCGCTGGTTCCCCCAAACTAGAGGCACTCTTGTACCCCTTTGCTCCGGGAGCCCGGGCTTTTCCATCTCGATGGAAGGGAGTGGGGGCACTGAGGCCTGGACGCTCGTTTCGTCCCAGCACATCCATCTCTCTTTTTAGGCCGTGGGGGAGGACAGGAAGAGGGTCAACCGCAACTCGGAGTCAGCAGGCTTTCACAGTCTGCGCACATTTATTTCATTTACCTTTGAAAACGGGATCGGGCGTCTGGAGAAGGCGGCCAGGCAGGGGAGCAGCTGGCCCCGGGGAGCGGTCCCTGTTCCTGGCCTTAGTCCCAGGGCGCGGTCCAGCCGGAGGAAGGCCCTCCCTGGAGCCCCCACCCCAGACCCGCGGCGGGAGCAAGCCAGTGTAGACGACCCAGGTCGCTGTGGACGATCGCCCCCTCGGCGGGGAAGCCCGAGGGCGCGCTCACACGGGCCGCTCCACGGCATACTGGCACGGGCTGAGGTTGGCGGCCGGGGGCGGCCCGGGCACCGCGGGGTAGCTGAAGGAGGCATGCTGCTTGGCTTTGAGCCGCAGGCTGGCCAGGCTCGAGTTACACGGGTCCCGGTACACGTAGGGCGCCGAAGCGTACGGGCAGGACACGGCCGCGGAGGACACGGCCGCCGGGGCCAGCCCAGGGGGACCCCCGCTCAGCCCCTGCAAGGCTGCGGGGCCGGGGACGGCGCCGGGCGCGGGTGCGGCCGACGGCACCATGGAGGCGGCGATGGAGCTGGGCGGCGAGAAGACGGGCTGCGAGGCCAGCGGCCCCACGTTGACCGAGTTGAAGGCGAACGGGAAGGTCTTGGCGGCGAGGGGTGGCGCGAGCGCCTTGGGCGGCCAGTTGCCGTAGGCGTAGCCGGGGTACATGTCCTCGTAGGGCGGCACCAGCCCACCGAGGGGCGCCGCGAAGCCGCCCTTGCACAACTCGGCCTGCTGGCTGCGCTCGCGCTTGCGCCACTTGGCACGCCGGTTCTTGAACCACACCTGCGGGCGAGGTCAGGGTCGCTCAGACTCGGCGCAAAGCAAGCGCGGGCCGCGGGGGCGCGAGGTGGAGGGACGCGCGGAGCCCCGGCTGGCGGATGGAAAGGCAGCATGGGGCTCCTGGACAGTGGGACGGATCAGACAAGGGACAAGGGAGACCCGGGGCGGGGCGGGGCCGGCGCAGTACCCGCACGCGAGCCTCGGTGAGGTTGGTCCACACGGCGATCTCCTCGCGCGTGCTCATGTCGGGGTAGCGGTTCCTCTGGAAGGTTGCTTCCAGCTCCTGCAGCTGCTGGCTGGTGAAGTGCGTGCGCTGGCGTCGCTGCTTCTTCTTCAGCGAGCCGTCCTCGGGGGAGCTACCGGGCAGCGAGGCCGAGGCCTTTTCCGAGTCTGGGGGGGTCAGGGGAGAGCTTAGAGACCTCTCTACTGCCCGCCGCCCCACCCCACCCCGCCCCGGGCTGCCACCTGGGGGTCCACTCCCCTGGGGGACAGAGCTGCCATCTCCCTGGCCCCAGGAGGGGGCGCGCTCACCGCTGTGCTCCGGACCTTTGCAGCTGTGCTCTGGGAGTGGAGGGTGCGGAGTGCCCGCGTCCGACAGCGACAGCGCGGGGCTGCGAGCCTCCGCTTCGGGGAGTAGCCCGAACTCCATGGAAGGCTCTGGAGGAAAGAGCACGCCGAGACCAGGTTCATGGGGCACACGAAGTCCCTGCCCCTTTCACAGTCACTGATGCAAGGCCACCCTTTGTGGAGTACCACGGATAAAATCGGGAACACTAGAAAGGGGAGAGGTGCACACCAAGAGGTTCGCGCAGGTAGGCACACTAGACTTCGTAGCTGCTGAACGGCTAGAACTGTGCGTGGTGCACAGCTGGTGTTTGATAGTTGTTGAATTTTTTAAAAATGCACATCAATGAACACTATATACCCTATGCTACATCCCCTAAGCCTGAATGTTCAACATCCTCGCCCCTCAGCCACCATCCAGCCAGCCAGAGCTGCCTTCCCTCTTCCATGGGCAGCTGGTATTTGGAATCAGGTCTGATATTTCTCCCATAAGAGTAACCACTGCAATCACCTACTGGTGAGCCTTCATTGCTCACCTCACAAGAATAAATTCAAATGTGTTCATACATGTTAAGTTCCCTTATCTGAAATGCTTGGGACCAAAGGAGCTTCAGAACTCAAGAGTTTTTTCATATTTTGGAATAAATGTCATATTTTGCTTAGATTGACCAGCTGAGTACTCTTACCTGCAAACTGGATGTCAGAAATGCACCAAAATTTGAGAGTTGACACAAAAATTCCAGATTTCAGAGCATCTCAGTTTAGGGATGCCTGTACTGTTTTTATTTTATTTATTTATTGTCTTTTTGAGACAGAGTCTCACTATGTGGTTCAGGCTGGACTTGGACTCACTTTGTATCTATCCTATGCTGGTCTTAAACTTGCAATGATCCCCCTGCTTCAGCATCCCAAGTGCTGAAATTACAGGAGTATGCCACCACGCCTGGCTGTTTTGCTTTTTAAATTTTTGCCTCTTATCACACTAAGGCCTAACTCAAGGCCTCACTTTTGTATGCTAGGCAAACACTGCACCACTGAGCTTTACTCCGGCCTGGGGTACCTGACCTGTATTACTTTTTTTACAGGTGAGGAGACCGAGGCTAGTAACTTGATTAGGGTCACAGAGCTTGTAAATAGTGGCTAGGATCTGAACCCTGGTCTGTGGGACTCATAACATTTTTTCCTTTTTTTTTTTTTTTTTTGTTTTTCTTTCTTTTTTTTTTTTTTTTTTTTTTTTTGGTCTTTTTCCTTTTTATCGGTACCGGTACCGGGGATCGAACTCACGACTGCCTGCTTCCAAGGCAGGCGCTTATGCCGCTGAGCTAAATCCCCAACCCCATAACATTTTTTCTTCATTCGCTTTCTAAATTGTCTTCAGGACCCTGTCCAGATGCCCCCTCAGGGATTCAGCTCCAGCTGGAGCTCCAGCCTGGCTTGGCTTGGGTACATTTCAACTAGGGCAGCTCTTCTTTTGTATTCTTTGTGTATAATTTCTAAAGCAACTTCATTTGAACCAAGGGTTCCAAGGTCAAAAATAAGTTTAAAAACAACCTGGTGCTCCACGCTGTCTGCCCCTTCGCCTGTCCAGACACATCTCACCCGCAACCAGTCATCTCCACAGCTTCAGCTCGGGATTGTCTTCCTACAAGCCTGCTCCAAGCAATGGGCGTGACCTCCAGAAGACGCCCTTCCTATCCCTATTCCCTGTCCACATCTAGCTGAACCCTACCCAGGACCCTGCCTTAGTTCCTCTCTGGGTGCTGTCTGTAGTTCTCCTTTCTTGCTGGTTCCCAGAACTTCTCTATGGGGAGGGGGAGAGAAGGCTGTTGGTCAGGGGAGAACAGAAGGAGACGAGTGAAATAAAGTTGGGGCAGAGAGCTGGCTGGGAGGGTCTCTCTGCACCCAGCATCCCTCCCCGTTAATAGGAGCTTACTGCAGGCTTTTTCATGGGGTGGCATTAATGCCGGGGATTAGCCTAGATTGAGATGTATGTCACTTGACTGCTCTGAATTTATTAGGAGTCTTTCTTGAGGAGGTGCAGATGGGCAGTGGCCTATATTTGCACATGGTAATGTCCCGTTCAACTAGCTCCCAGATCACAGCTGTGCCCCCTTCAAGCCAGGTTGAGAGTGGGACAGAGGACAAAGCAGGGCTGCCCTTTCCACAGCAGTAGGTGTCTGAACTTGGACTTTTTGCTGCAGTTAGGGAAGTGCTAGGTGGAACCCAGGAAAGGAGTCAGGCCAGGAGTAGAGGTGTGCTCAGCCTTCCTCCCTTTCTGGATCTGAACTGGAAAAATCGGACACGAAGGCAGTCTTTTTTTAGTTTTTTTTTTTTTTTTTTTGTCTTTTTCTTGGTACCAGGGATTGAACCCACAGCTGCCTGCTTGCAAGGCAGGGGCTTATGCCGCTGAGCTAAATCCCCAGCCCCTTACGAGGGCAGTCTTGATGGGCAGCTCTTCCCAAGTAGCTAGGAAGATGAGGGAGGAAGGCTGAGGACTTGGGGACCAAGAGTGGCAAAGAGAGACACTCCAAAGTCCACTCTCCCTTCTTTCCCAGAGTGACCTGTAAAGCAAACTTGCCCCAACTCTTCCAGAGATCACTTAAAGCTGGAATGAAAAGGGACAATAGATTTTGCCTGTGGGCTAAACTAAGTCCCCGCCTTCCTCCTTCCAGTTGGCTTTGGCTCCAGACTTCTGCTTTTCCAAACTTCCCTGCCCCCGGCATTCCATACCTAGATCTTGATTTCATCCTCTGTTTCCGAGGAGGGAGACAGAGTGAGGAGGGATGAGGGCCAGAGTAAAAGACGAAGCTGAGAAAGCAGAGTTCAGGCTGTGTGTTCTCGGAGACAGACAGACACATGTGCAGATACACGCAAGCTCCTACTCAGACATAATAAGCACTTGGAGCTAGAGGCACACAAACACGCACTCTCCCACACATGTGCTCCCACCCTCAGGCAGGCAGACACACACTGTCATACAGTCTCTTCTCTCTGTGACAGGGACAGCTGCCTGGGCTGTTTTGAAGTTAGCTGCTCCCCTCCTCCTCCCCTCTCTGGCCCCTCAGAACCTCCATTCTCAGTCCTAGGAGCTAAGGGCTGGGGGGTGGGCAGGGAATTGTTTTAGGATTGGTGGCTGCTGGGCGAGAGTACCTTGCTTTGGCCTATTGGGGAAGAAAGCTGTGCTAGGGAAGGGGGGTGGGCAGAGAATGCCCTGACCTCCTCAGAAAGGCAATCTGGTATATAGGTCACAGGAATTAGAGTTATTGCATTGTGGTGGTTGTTTTTGTTTTTTGAAGTTTTTTTTTTTTTTTTTTTGAGACAACGTCTTACTATGTAGCCCAGGCTGGCCTCAAATTCATGGTGAGCCTTCTGCCTCAGCTTCCCAAGTACTGGGGTTACAGGTATGTGCTACCATGCCTGGCAGAAGTTTGTAATCAAAGATCTAGGTTTATGCCCTCATTCCTCATCTTACTGCAATAGTATGTGTCCTTGGAAAAGTTACTTTACCTTTCTTGGCACATTTCTTCGTCTCTAAAAGGAAGATAAAACCATAATCCCTTCCCTACCTGCCTTCACTATTGTTATAAGGTTTAGATAAAACATAGCATGATAAAATGAGTAGCAATGAAACTACCTGAGTGGGGAGCCCTTCACTCCCCAGATGCCATCCTCACGGGGAGGCTTTCCCTTGAAAAGCTAGCTGACTATGCTCTGTTTCACAGAGGGATATAGTGCTCTGTCCTGAACAGTAGGCACACTGGGAACAAGGAACCCACACCAGGAGCTGCTTTGGAGAGCAGGCACTGTCAGGGAGAGAATGAAGCATTTGGATGCCTGCATGGGTTCTTAAGAGTGGAGAGGGGGGTTCTGACTGCAATCTTGCTGGGACAGAAAACAGAATCAGAGCTGGGCAGGCACGGCCAGACAGGAAGGTGGGGCACAGGCTCCAAGCCCTGAGTCCAGGTGGGCCATTAGGGCAAATGCTGCAGGTCCTGAGTGTTGTCTGAGCTGCAGACTGGCTGGCTGAGGATTAAGTTTCCCCCAACTGCTGGAGGTCAGGAAGCTGGGCTACTGGGACTGAGGCCAGGAACTTTGCCTCCCTCAGTGGATAGGAAGGACAGCTGTAGGAGTGGAGCTGCAGGATTGGCTGGTGCTGGACCAGGCAGGGCCAGAGAAAATCAAGAGACAACTGTGTTGATGAGTCTGGCTGGCTCTGGGAGGTACAGCCTGCATCACCCTCCTGGGGACACAAGGCCCTGGGCTCCACTGGGCTCAGAGTGGCAAACCCAGACCTAGGGAGAAGCGCAGGCTGGAATTATAGACAGGCAAGAACAAAATAACCTAGAATACATTAGGAGGGAGAGCAGAAAGGCCATGGAGAGGAGGCTACGGTTTCCAATGAATGCAACTTCATGGCTTGAAGGCAAGAAGGCAACTGTCATGATGGCCACTCCTGAAGCTAGAATGTTGACAAAGGTCATTCTGAAAGAACCCCTGGTAATTTGCAATCCCAGTGCTAAAGGTAAGAGGTACATCTTGGAATTTAAATGGGATAAAACCTTTTTCTTTCTGCAGGAGTGAATGGAAAGAAGAGGAGCTGAAGTCCTGATGCTGTGGCGCATCTTCGCAAGGAGCAAGCATCAGAAGTGAAAAAACCAAGGCCCTGATGTAGTATAGAACCATCATACAACCATGAGACTAGAGTCCTTTTTTTTTTTTTTTTTTTTTTTTGTCTTTTTCATTTTTATCGGTACCGGGGATCAAACTCACTTTGCAAGGCAGGTACTTATGCAGCTGAACTAAATCCCCAGCCTGAGAGAGTCCTTTCAATGGGCCCAGCCTTCAGTGCTTTGGAATGTTGGACACCTACTCTGGGGTGCAGAGCTGCAGGGTACAGATGGGAGCAAATGACATTTAGTCAGAGCACTAGGATATGGGCAGCAGTCAGGGGGCGAATGGAGGAGCAGAGAAAGGACCCTGCACCTGTCCTTTGCACAGCTCTGCTCCTCCCTGCTTCTTTCCTGTAGCAAGTATTAGGTGCTGAGCAGGAGCACTGTGAATAGTCAGGCATGGACTTCAGCTTGCTAAATGCCAGAAAGGCTGCGCATAGGATGGAAACTGGAAGGGCACAGGTCTGGCTCAGCATGTGGGAGATCAGAGAGACAGGAGCCATGTCGGGTGGTGCCAGTGTTGGAAAGGAGATGATAAGTTCCCAAGGCAGTGGGAAACCTCACTTGACTAGTCTCATTGTAGACCTTGGAAACCAGTAGAAAAAAGTGGCTCAGACTTAGGGACCTCTGAGGGCACAAGAAGTGCTGGTCTAGATTCGATACAGTCTAAGTTGAAGCACTTCTAGCTTTTCCATCAAAAAGTCCCTAAAACCAATAAAAGAAATTAGAACCATGGCCTAAAACAGCTGCCACTGGGTGAAATTTCTTTGAGATTTCTGAATTGATTTTATTTTTTTTTGGACACAGGTTCTCTCTATGTAGTTGAGGCTGGACTTTAATTCACTATGTAGCCTGGGCTGGCCTTGAACTCAGATGATGCTCCTGCCTTAGTCTCCCAACTACTGGGATTATAGCCATGTGTCACTGTGCCTACCTCAGATTTGATTTTTAAATTCAAGCAGATTTGCCATGTTAGCCATATTTCTTTTAATAGAAAAGAAAGGTACAGACACTCTAGTCTTTAAGTCCCCTAGTCATACCAGGAGATGGGCCCTCCTTAGCCTGTCCCTCTCATTTCCATGCCAACCCCTGCATTGAAGGCTTGCAGGCAGAGGAGTGACAGAAAAAGCAGCATTGGTGTGACTCTTATTTGGCAATGGTGACCAAAATGGATAGGGTAAGGGAGAAGCAGGAAAGGGGAAATGATGAACCAAGTTGTACAAAGGAGGAAAATGGGAAATGAGAGGTGGAGAGGGCTTTGCAAATGATTTCTTTGCTTTTCTATAGCTTTTTTTTTTTTTTCTTTCCTTTTTATCGGTTCCGGGGATGGAACTCATGACTGCCTGCTTCCAAGGTAGGCACTTATGCCTGCTGAGCTAAACCTCCAGCCCCTCTATAGCTCTTTTACTCTCTTATCTTTCTTTTCCTCCCGATCACTTTTTTTTTATTTGAGACAGGGTCTCACTGTGTGATTCAGGCTGGCCTTGAACTCAGTATGTAGCCCAGGCTGGCCTCAAACTCACAGCAATCCTGCCTCAGCCTCCCAAATGAGAAGGATAGGCATGTACTGCCACATCCCACACTCCCAATACTCTTATCATGGGTCCTGGTTGGTGACCATGGACACTCGTGACACCCCAAATCAGGGAGGGCCTAATGTTATCATTTAGTTTAGCTGATTCCCCCCCCACACACACACACACATTCTAAGAGGCATCATTTAGACCAGTGAATGGAGGAGGAAAGATTCCATTTGGTTCCATGCCTCTCAACATAACTCAGCTCTTTTCTACTACCTTCCTTCCAGGGCCTCCATGCAGCAGGAGGCAGGTAGGGGTCCTGAGGTCAGGATATTTGGTGGATGGAGAGGTCAAGCATTTAGGGAGCCCCTAGGTTCTTCGTATGGGGCAGGGATAATGACTAGCATCTGAAACCTGGGGTAGGGGACCTATCTGTCTTTAAGGACCTTCCAAGAGTGCACCCTTCCAAAGATTCTTTAGGTACAGGAGATGCGCACTTTTGGCAGAACGACAGCACCAAACCTTTTGGTGCCTCTCCATTTGCAAAGGGCTTTCCTGTACATCATTTAATTGAACTCTCACAGCCACTGCACGGGCAGAAATGCCCTTCTTCACTTCATCTCAAGAAGGCAGGAAATGGGCCAAGGTTACACAGAAGAAGACATTCAAACCCTCTTTTGCTGTACACAATACCTTAACAGCTAAGGCCCCTCCACCCTGCTGCCATGCATAACTCTGACATGCAGTGATCTAATGCCTGAAGGATTCTGCTTTATTTCCTGCCTCTACCACCTCTTTGGACATGAGCTCTAGAGGTTGACAGCCCATTGTGTGCCAAAGAATGTTTTCCTACTCACCCTAAACTTGCATTATTTTAATTCTAAGGGGCCTCTTTATCCATGAACACTGATTACCTAGGTCTTGCATTATGCTATAGATTTGCATCCTGTCTCACCTTCCAGGGTCTGCAATTTTGAAATTTGCTGTCTGGCAATCAATGGCTCCCCATCCTGCCAACCATCCCCTGTCCCTTCTCTAGGCCTGTAACATTTTCCTGCAGAGCCAGGGACAGGGTTTGTACTCAGCTATGGTTATGCAAGAGTAGGAGAAGATTCTGTCTTTCATTTCCAATCATTTTTGCTACGATGTCATCTCTTTTTGGCAAAAGCAGAATCTAGGGGCTAAGGTCTTCGGGAAACATCTGTGATACCTTCCTTATCCCTTTCCTGACTCCTGAGTCCTTCGTTTCATCCATGATTCCAGTGACTTTTCAAAGGCTATGGAGGTACATGTCCCTAAAAAGATGTATCAGAATATGATGGCAGTAATTAGGATGTGAATCTGTATTTATTAAAAGAGGGCAAGGGACAAGAAAAGGTTGAGAAATAATGTTCTAGCCAGTGTCTAAGCAAACTTTAGATAGGAGGAGTGGAGGTGGGAATGCTGGGAATATGGATTGTATGCCACTTGTGGGTGGAGAGTAGGAAAGGTTGAGACCAAGTGGTTTAGATTACTCATTGCTAAAACACAATGCCTTGCACTTGTCCTCATGAAAGCCCAGTCCCTGGCCAGGATGTTTAGCTTACTTACATCGACTCAGAGAGTTGTCTCTACTCTTCCTCTTCAACATTTTTTTTTTAAGTACTAGGGACTGATCCCAGATATCACTGAACTAGTCCCCAGCCCTTTTTATTTTATTTTGCCAAAGGGTTGTGCTAAGTCTCCCAAGTAGCTGGGTTTACAGCTGTGTTCTTCCATGTCCAGCTTATCCTGTTCAACTTAACCGAACTCTGGTTAGAACTGAAGTCAGGGTGGGCAGTTATTGTATAGGCCCAAGGAGTCAGAGCCCACTCACAGCCAGGAAAGCAGAGGGCAGGGAAGACAGTCTTCCCCATCAGACTTGTAGCACCAGACAGGCTCCATGTTGGACCTCAGGACCTGGGATCCATGTGTCTCCTCCCCACCTCTTAGGCACCAGAGTGATGTGGAGACTGGTGGGCTGAGAAAGTAAACCAGAAAGGAACATAGGGTCTGTTTTGCTCAGGAGCCTCAGTGTCCCTTCTGGTCCCCCACTTACATAACGTCGACTGGGAGCCTGTGGACAAGGCCTGGGGTGTCTGCAATTAAGAGTTGGCTCTGAGTTTCTGAGGCAGCTGGAGTTGCCAGGAGTTTGTGCCGGGCTCCTTACTGCATTCCTATTGCTCTTGTGGCTCTCCTTTCCTTTCCCGATCTTGATTCACCTCCAGTCCTGTCATTAGCTTTCCTTGCTCAGCTGTGGAACTACAAGTCTAGGGTGATGCGCTGATTTACCTTGAGATGGAGGGAGGATGTCCCCTAGTCACCCTGTCCTGGCCAGGGCTGCGCCCTTTACTCTCATCTCTGGCTCCCTAGTCCACCGTCAGAAGGGGTAGAAACAATTTCGCTAATAGCGAGCCGGGATTTTCACTCACACCAGCCACAGCCGACCCCGTTGCATACCCAGCAGTCGGAGGGGTGCTGCGGGATAAATGGGTATGCCCCAGCTCGGGACATTCTGTCCACCGCGGCCAGACTGATCTGCCGCTCCGGAGAGACCCACTTCACCGCCCCAGGCATTCTGTCTGCTTTGAGCTCCAGCGCCACGGACATTCCGTCCGATTCCGAAGTGGCCCCAGCCTGGCATCCTAAGCCAGCTCCGCCAGACCTCGCCTGATTCTTTGGGCTTCTAGCCTTGGCTCTGAGGCTCCTACAACGACCATCTGACCTAGTCGCTGCCGAGCTCTCCTTACCCAGTTCCTATTCCAACTGTAGAGCAGCTGGGGATAGAAATGCGCCAACTGTGCGCGCCCGCTGGTGGCCCCTGAGTCTGCCAGAGGTTGGGCCGGGGGTGTCGGGCGCCGCCGAGGGCCTCGTTTCGGATGCCCGCCGCCGAGCCCCTGGCTGGCCGGGGCCTCTGCGGCCCCTGTCCCCGCGGCAGTCTGTCCTGTGCCCCGGATTCCCGGAGCTTACGCCTCTGGCTTCGCTCGGGATCCCGTGAGTCTTCCCCTTCCCGGTCTCCTGGGTCCTTACCCCGAGTCTCCCTTTTCCCAAATCGTGGGCTTAGGTTTGCAGAGCGCCCTCCCAGTGTCGACCCATTCCCCAGGTACCGGAGTGCAGACGCCCCAGGTTCGGTTTTGGGGATCCTTGGACCGGCTACAGCTCCGCGGCCCCTCGCGCTCCTGTCCCCGGCGTGGTCAAGAACTCACAGAGCGTCACGCGGCAGGAGTCCCGGCAGAGGCGGCGACGGCCTGGAGGGCAAGCGGGGTCTGGGGCCAGGCACCGGACGGGGTGGGGGCTGTCCCCCAGTTCCCGGGCGGCAGCTTCGCTCCGGCGCTCCCAGACCCGCTGGGCAGAGCGCGAACCTCGCCGCGGACTGCCACCCCCCGCCGGCGCCCATTCACTTTATGGCAGCCCAGGGTGCCCCCAGCCCGCCGCACCGCGCCGCGCGCCTCAGGCCCCGCCCCCTTCCAGCTGCTTTACCCGGCCCCGCCCTTTCCAGCTGTGAACACCCAGGCCCCGCCTTTGGGGAGGTGGGGTCCCAGGGGCCGGCCTCCAAGAACCCCGCCTACCGACCAATCGGGAGCGAGCCTTGGCAGCCGGGCTACGCCCCTCCCCACGTGGCCGGTCCCGGGCCCCAGCTGGGACTCTTGCACAGACCGGAGCAGCCGAGTAGCGCGTCCGGCGGAGCAGGAGGACCCGCGAGTGGCGTGGTGGGGCCCGGCAGCTCCCCGGAGCCAAGCGCGGCGGTGCCTGGGGAGAGGGCTGCCGTGGTGCCAGGTGGGAATGCGCGCGAGGCCGCCGGCTCTCCGTGCTCAGACTTGTCTGCCGCTCAAGTTTCGCCGATTTTCTCCACTTGTCGCTGTCCGTCTCTCCTCTCTTTTGTCTCCGTTCCCATCTTCCCATGTCTCGCCTTTCTTTCCTCTCCTCTGCCGCCTTACTCCTGTTGTTTTTTATTTCTCCTCCTGCCTCTGCCACTTTGATAGACCAATTCCCCTTTCTCTCATTTACCCTGCCTCTCAAGCTGAGTATCCCGTCATTCCCTGCCCCATGGAAGATGACTTCGTGAGAAAAGCAGGCTTTGAAATGAGACAAACTACAGTGGGATTCCAATCCCACCACTACCTGTGCCCTCGCCAGCTGACCTTGGACAGCTACCTAATGCACTGTCACCCCAGATTAATAGGGCCCACGCGAATTCCTTGGGCCCAGGCTAGTGCTTTCCAAGGGCATGGGCCTTTGCCTCTCTCTCTTGTTCCCTTTTTGCCTGGGCTATGCTCTCCCAGCTTCCAGAGGGCCAGTAGCAGATCAGTTTTGTGGGCAGAACATGGCCTTGGTGCTTGCTGACTAGGAATTTTCAAGGAAGAGGACAGATGCTCAAGGAATATATGGCATTGGACTAGGTTTCTCGGTGCTCCTGAGAACCCTAAGCCGGGTCACCAAATATACTCCTAAAGCAAATTTGATCACTCACATCACTGCTTCAAACCCTACAATGCTTTCTAATTCCCGTCAATAAGAAGTCAAGGCCCTAGTCTGGCATACCCAACCTTCAGGAGCCAACCTTGTCTTCATGCAGCCTCCCAGTGGCACACCTCTGGCCTCCTGATAGTAATCAATCTTGCCTCTTGTTCCCATGATTCTACGGTGCATACTCTATTCTCTCACTTACTGCATTAAAGGGTCCAGTTTATGAGTGGTCCCCTATGTGACTAAGATTTTCTATTCTTTCTTTTTTTTTTTTAATTGGTACTGGAGATCGAACTCACGACTGCCTGCTTGCAAGGCAGGTGCTTATGCCGCTGAGCTAAATCCCCAGCACATTTTTCTTCTATTCTTTTCTTTTCTTTTCTTTCTTTCTTTTTTTTTTTTTTTTTTTTTTTTGTGACTAAGATTTAAGAGTACAAGGACTGTGTCTTCTTCATCTTTCTGTTTGCAGGTATAATATAGAAACTTAATAAATATTTCATACTCAGGTCTTTGTTGATGGCTTTTTTGTTGTTGTTGCTGGATTGCCCCCAGCATGCATGCTCTGGGGGAGAACCTGTCCCAGTCTGCTCTGGGCATCTCCACTTGCCTGAAGTTGATGTCTGATAATGTGAAGGAGTAGATTTACAAAGTGGCCAGAAAAGGCCTGGTTCCATTACAATAAGGTTATGGATGTATGTTTTGCAATAAGCAATAAAATCTTGAGAATTCTTAACGCCAAAGGACTTGCTCCTGATCTTCCTGAGGATCCCTACCATTTACTTAAGAAAGTGGTTACTTTTCAAAAGCACTCTGAGCAGAACAGAGTTGATAAGAATGCTAAGTTTTTTAAAATTCTGATTGAAGTCAACTTTACTGATTGGTTCAGTAGTATATTACCAAGTGAGTCCCCTCTCCTACCAGTCTCCATTGAAAATATGGGTCATCAGTAGCCTCTGCCTGCTCCTATAAATTTGCCTATATACTCAATCATAAAATAGTTTAAAAAAATACTGAAATCTAAGAGGAAAGTGTTTTACTTGGTAAGATGATAATAGTAGGGGTTGGGGAATTGTCATTTCTCTCCTGTCCATCTTTAATGTACAATCACATGCTTTTAAGATGATAAATTTCTGGAGGCATGTGGAAAGATAGAGGAGTAGGGAGTTTTGGCACACCTAGAAAATTTTTCAATATCTCTCCATGAGTTTTCAATCTGAGACAGGCCCAGGAGGACAATACTCACTTTTTAAATGAAGACAATGGCCGAGAGTGAGAGTGTGAAATGATGTGGTGTGATGGTGTGTCCTCTTTCCCTGACTTCCTTTGTGCAAAAGAAGCAAGATCCTTAGCTGCATTCAGGACCCCAGTGAACAGTTGCAGGGAGTTTTTTTTTTCTTTTTTTTTTTTCTTTTCACATGTAGGGCATTTGCTCATAGGGAGGCCACAAGTGTTGTGCCCTTCTTCACAATGATCCTGGATTCCTGTTGGGTGTGTTGTAAACAGAGGAGCCATTCTTCAGGGCCCCTGCTCTGAGCACACCTAGGGAGTTGTTGAGGGATTCTTCAGGTCAGATATCAGCTCTGAATGGTTCTTCAAATTAGAGGATCCTAACACGTGAGCGATTCTGGATACCTGGTTTTGGGATACATTCCTATGGGTTAGCTATAGAGCTTCCCTAAACTTGAATTATCCATAAGGAGGAGGAATAAGGTGAGAATTGGTGTCTTTTTTGTTTTTGTTATTTATTTATTTTTTTTGTCTTTTTCCTTTTTATCGGTACCAGGATCGAACTCAGGACTGCCTGCTTGCAAGGCAGGCGCTTATGCTGCTGAGCTAAATCCCCAGCCCCTGTTTTTGTTATTTTTGGTTTTGTTGTTTTGAGAGAGGGTATTTCTATGTAGTTCAGATTAGCCTTGAATTCACTATGTAGCCCAGACTGGCCTCAAAGTCTCAGCTTTTCTTTTGCTTAAGCCTCCCACATGTTGGGGTTATTGGTGTGCATCATCAGCTCAGTGAAAACTGGTGTTATTTTTCACTGCCTCCCAGCAGCCTTTCCGTGTCTTCAGAGACAACTGGGTTCTACTCAACAAATGGAGTGGGAATTCCATGATTGTAGAAAACCCATCCTCCTCTCATCTTCGCATGCGTTGTCACTTCTAGATCACTTAAAATGGTTTAGTAGCCTCTGTCATCTCTTGTAAGGGGAGGAGACAGACAGCTAGCTGGGGGCAGCACAATGAAAATGGATGTGAGCAGGTCATAAGTGCCCATCTGTAATGCCAGGTCTTGGGTGGCTGAGGCAGGAGGATTGCTGTGAGTTTGAGGCAAGTCACTGGTCTACAATGTGAGTTCAAGGCCAGCCTGAATTACATAATGATACCTGTCTCAAAAAAAAAAAAAAAAAAAAAAGTGGGATGTAGCCTTCAGCCTTTTAGCTTTAGTGTCAACGGTGATGCATACCAATCTATGTGATTAGCTTTGTTCCTGGTTGGTAAGGCATGTCCAAGCCTTGAAATGAGAGCCAGTGTTGGGGTTATAACCTGATAGAGGCCTAAGAGGTAGCACAAATCAGTGGAAAAGAACTAATCTGGGGTGAGGACACCTGGGTTTGTCTCCTACTTTGCTACCTACTAGCTGGGACGCAGTTTCCTGTTCTGTAAAATAAGGAGACTTAAAATAGATATCAAAGGTTTCTACCATCTCCCATTTTCTCTTGTTCTGGAGAAACAGTTGGAATGGGATAATCAGACCTATGAGAAGTCAAACTGCAACAGGCAGGCAAGAGGGAGGGGATAGCAGGGGGTGAAATAGTTCACTAGACTGAATTTAGGATCAAGGGGTGCTAGAGCCATCTCGAAAGGGCGTGACCCCTCAAGGAGTGGAGTGTGGCCGTGGGAGTACGGGCGCCGACTCAAACTCTCAAAATATGCCCAGCCCCCCTGCCAGCAAATCGCTGCTTTCCTCCCCACAAGGCCCAGCAGTCACCGCCAAACGGCGCGCTGCAACCAAACTCTATCTAACTCCACCTCTCCAACCGCCCAGCAAAATTTCTTATTTTTATTGGTTTTTATAACTGTCACTCAGAGAAGTCTCTTAGTCGTTGGTTGTGCCCTACCTACTTTTTTCTTTCCCCGGTATTCTAGCCTCTTCAGGCACTCCCGCCTCCTGAGACCAATTCATTTCTTCAATTGGGTAATTGGAATGCCATTTTTCACGGCTCAAGCTGTGATTGGCTGTCAGGTGAAGGGCTCGCGCAGTTACCAGGCAGCGGGCTAGACTGAGGCTAGTTACCACGTCAGTGAGCTGACAGGGAAGGTAGCCGGCTCCACCGCCCGGCCCGGCCGACCCGTTCTAGCCAGCTGTGCGGGTCTGCCCCGACTTCAGCCTTCACTTCCCGAAAGCAGGCTCCTTTCTTCCTCCTATCTGCCATCCGAGGCGGGGGAGCCGCTGGGAGCCGCCTCGGAGACGCAGCTGACATGAGCCGCGGCCACAGGTCCTGGGACTAGGCCTCGCCATCTTGGATCCGCTGACAGGTTCGCCAGTCCCCTCCGGGAGTTGTAGCGCTGTGGAGGCCACCTGACGTCAGAGCAGGGAACTGGGACGAAGCATCGAGGGGGACGCGCAGGGGTGGGTTCTGGACTTGGGGCGCCGTAATAAGACTAGGGAAAATTGTTGTGGGAGGGGCCTGGGAGGCGTGCGGGGGGCAAAGGTCAGGCTCCCCGGCACGAGGGGCCAAATCCCAGCTGTGGTTTGTAATGCTTCGCAGGTCGGTGTTTGGAGCGTTCTTCGTGTTCCCTAGGGCTAGTGTTAGATTCAGCTCCTCTTTTCCGGAGTTTTCAGCATTCTGAGGAGCCCAGTGTGCCAGCTGAAAGCAAAGCTAAAGTGATAATACTTCTGAGGCTGGTTCAAGACCTTGGAGATGTCTCTCCTGATTCTATAGAGCTCCCTTGTGACTGGCTCAGTTCAGCTGAGTTAGTTATTCATCCCGAATGGTGAGCCAGAGCAGCCTAGCCCTGGGTGGTCGGTAAGGAGCCCTGGAGGAACTGGGGCCAGCAGCCTGGGGAGCTGGGCCTTGAGAAGGTTTTTCTCTTACAGGGCAGCTTACCTGAACCTTGGGGCTGTGTGAAAACACTGGACTTATTTTTAGGACTATTCCTTTATGCAGTTGTTTACAGGTCTTATGTTTTGTTGTGTGTTTTGGGCTGGGCTCTTCTCTAGGCCTTGGCCTAATGAGTGGAGGCTTTTTTTTTTTTTTTTTTTTTTTTTTGTCTTTTTGAGACTGGGTCTCACTATGCAGTTCAGGATGGCCTTAAGCTTGCTTTGTGGCCCAAGCTCCTCTCGAACTCGCAACAATCCTCCTCAGCCTCCCAAGTGCTGGGATTATAGGCATGTGCCACCATGTCTGTCTGGCTATGATTGAATTTTATCACAAGGAAATAACTGACACATTTGACTGAGACCAAAGAGGGATTTAAATTCTGGCAGTGTTTGGTACTGTTGGCCAGTTATTTTTAGTGGGTCGAAAGAGTTGTGAGAGATGATTGGCTAATTGTGATAGGATCAGGGAGGCAGAATGAGTGATGGAGCATAATCCCAGAGTGCACTTTACAGAGTGATGACCTTTGATAAAGTGCTGTGTTGTAAAGCCATAAAAGTCCACTGAATGTAAAGAGTACTTTTTGAGAGGAAGAATTGGATAGTATTTTTAAATGCACAATATAGAAACTTGTATGCCTTTATATCAGGTACACAAAGACACTGCTCCAGGCCCTGGGCTGGATATATATGAAGAGATTTGCTTTGGAATCATGCAGTTTATGCATTTTTTAAAAGGAGTAGCATGTCAGAGTGTGCCAAAAAATGTATACACACTTAAAGAAAAGAAAAACTTGTAAAATATTCTAGTAGTAAATTTATTGAGACTTTATAAAATTAATACAGGTTACCTTTGACCCCTGCACTTTACAAGAGGTGCTCAAGTGGTCATTAGCTTCTAGATGTTTATTAGTATGGTGAACTGCGTGAATAAACTTGGTTGTTGAGATTGTGGCACGTGAATTTTTAATTTCTTCTCTGAGGGCCACTGTGTGGTGAGTTTTCTGTGATATACTACATCCTTTGCAGTCTCTCATACAAGGGTAATACTATCTGTTGAAAAGACATCATACTGTTTTTCTTTTCCTGAAGTGTATATACAATTTTTTTTTTGCAAACTCTGTAGGTACAGTCCCCCAGCTCAAGCATGTAGTAAGGTTAAAAACAGGGTAAGTCTAATGCCGTTCAGCAGATAGTGGGCATTTAATAAATGTTATTTACACTTGGGATTAGTTTTAGTATGTGAACAGGACTTAATGGCCTAGTTCTGGACCTGCAAGTCTGGAATACTGCACATTTGCACAGTGAGGAAACCAGGAGGATGAAGATCTCCATTTCATCTCAGCCAAAAGACCAAGAAGCATTTGGGTCAAAATCTCATGGTGCTGGAAGGAAAAATTATATAGGCTGACAGAGTAAACTCAGTTTCTCCTGGTTAGTTCCTTTCGCCTTCCTGAAATTGTGTTAAATGTGTATGTGTCTCATAAAAACCAAACCAAACCAAACCAAAACAAAAAAAAAATACGGGAAACTATTTGCAATTTAACTTGCTGAGTCCAAGTTATAGAATTTCCTAGAAAGTATCTGAGAATAGCAAATGAAATGACAAATTGCTCAGGAAGTATCTACATTTGATGGGTTTGCTTTGCTCATCTGGACCATTGCTGTGTCCAGTTGCTGTACTTTTCATCATAGTCAAGCTGGTCTCAGGGTGGGTAGTGTGACCAATGCTGCATCTTTTCAGTTGGGCCTGAGGGTGACTATAAAGGCATCAAAGATTTTCTCTTTCTTAAAAAGTCATTTTTGGGGTTGAGAGTATAGCTCAGTGGTAGAGTATTTGTGTGGCGTGTGCAAGGCCCTGGGTTCTTTTTCCTAGCATACCCTTCTCCCCTAAAAATCATTTTCTAGATATAATTCCCACGTGCCCATAAATTCAAAATGTTGTCTTTTCTTCAACACTTGTATTTGGGCTGCTTTTTATGGTGGCTGTAAGAGCACCTGATTAGCAGGTTTGAGAGGATTTTTCAGTGTACCTTGTCAGACCTTGGAATCTTGACAGTGATACTTGTTAGTACAGTGGGAATTTAAGTTGTAGTCGTATCTCAGTAACTGGGCAACAGCCCTGTTTGAGCTCACAGTTCTCAGGGTTTCACTAGTTATTCACTTTTCTATGTTCTAGAAGTTAAAATGATGGCCATATTAAAATAATGGCCTCAGTAGCCAGGCATAGTGGCACACACCTTTAATCCCAGCACTTGGGAGGCTGAGGCAGGAAGGCTGTTGCAAGTTTGAGACCAGCCTGGGCTGCAAAAGTGAGCTCAAGGCCAGCCTGAACTGCATGGTGAGACCCTGTCTAAAAAACAAACAAAACCCACAAAATAATGACTTCATCGATAGAATACTTAGACTGGCTACTGTGTGGCATCTGGGAAGGAAGAAGGCAGCTC